GGAGAGGCACTGATGGAATGGTGGTAGATGACACGGAGCTCTGGGCTACCTGCTAATGCAGCTTTCTTGTTTCCCCCAGCTCTGTTCATGTTCAGTCAGGAACATCCCACTTCCGTCTTATGATGGAGTGATGCTGGGCTCACTCACCCTGTGGATATGACAAAAACTAGATTATGATGGACATTTCCAGTTGCATGATCTCTTGGAGTTCCATGGTTGGGCACATCATCTCTATCATAGCCCAGTGTCACACAGGGATCTATTTGACAAAAGGTGTGTAATTTATTGTAGGTGGCATAGAATTGCTCCAGAATCCTAGGAACCTGTGCTATGATTCAAGCAATAAAGTTTGCTATTAAGTTTATATGGCATCTTTTCCCACCACCACTAGAAGTATATTCTAAGACCTACCAGCTCATATGACCCAAGTGGCAGAGCTACTTACACCATGACCCAGACCTGCTGCAAAACATTTCCTGCTGAGTCTGATTCAAAACTGACAGCCATTCATGAGTCTGATTCAAAACTGACAGCTCTCCATCTATTACCTGGTTTCCATATGACCCTACTCTAACATGGGCACCCTTGATGATGCCTTGGATCCCCAGGTATCAATGTCAACTCAGACTCAGTGCCCTTTTTCCTTTCGCTAGTATATGGTCACATAATATATACGGAAAAACTGGGTAAATCATTACCATGCACACTTGTTACTGTGTTGCAGAGTCCTTCCTTCTGAGGTCTCAGGCTCTCCTTTGATCAATAAGCATAATGTTTAAACTGGTTCAGATACAGAAACCAGATAAATGCTTGTGACTCTATTGGGATGGTGAATTTCAGCCTCCTGGCAATCTATCTTTGATTTCTTCTGGTTGTATATACTGAGCATACGCTTGTTGGCTGCCTATCTGCTTTGCACCTAGATTTCTCCAGATCTCTCTGTGGGTGAAGACCTGTGACTGCTACCCCACCTTTGCCATTCTTCACATTAATTGTACCCTTCTGGTTTATGATAGATGTATGCTTCTGCCTCTATCAATTTAGGATCCTATTATCTGCATTGCTTTCACTGACCCCAGTTGTACAGAAGCATCTCTTACTAGTAGCCCTTGCCTACCAAGGAGATACCACATTGAGCTTTTCTCTCCTTTTTATTTCTTCCAGAATTCCTGATGATAGGGAAACACATTGTTGTGGGGTTTTTTTTGTTTGTTTTGTTTTTTGTTTTCTGTTTAGACAGAGTCTCTCTCTGTTGCCCAGGCTGGAGTGCAGTAGTGTGATCTTGGCTCACTGCAACCTCTGCCTTCCGGGTTCAGTTGATTCTTGTGTCTCAGTGCCCTGAGTAGCTGAGATTACAGGTGAGTGCCACTGCACTCAGCTAATTTTTGTATTTTTAGTAGAGATGGAGTTTCACCATGTTATCCAGGCTGGCCTCAAAATCTTGGCCTCAAGTGATCTGCCTGCCTCAAGCTCCTAAAGTGCTGGGTTTGTGGGCGTGAGCCACCATGCCTGGCCCAGAGTAAGCTTTTTAAAATTGATGCTGGTGCTTTTCTCACTAGTACATTTTTTATTGATTCATAAAACAAAATGTCCTTTAGGTTTTCCACAGGATATAGTCAACTGGTGGGTTTTCTGGCTTTATGTATTTACTGTAGCATGCCCACTGCTTCTTTAAGCCTTTTTTTTTTCCTTTTTTTTTTTTTTTTGATGGAGTCTCACTTTGTTGCCCAGGCTGGCATGCAGTGGTGATCTCGGCTCACTGCAAGCTCCGTCTCCTGGGTTCACGTCATTCTGCTGCTTCAGCCTCCCGAGTAGTAGGGACTACAGGCACCCGCCACCACGCCTCCTAATTTTTTTGTATTTTTAGTAGAGACAGGGTTTCACCATGTTAGCCAGGATGGTCTCGATCTCCTGACCTCGTGATCTGCCCACCTCGGCCTCCCAAAGTGCTAGGATTACAGGTGTGAGCCACCGCATCTGGCCATAAGCAGATAAGGACTTTAAAGCAGCCATTATAAGTGTGCTCAGGGACTTCAGATGGGGAATCCCACTGGTGCCTGTAATCCTAACACTTCGGGAGGCTGAGATGGGAGGATCACTTGAGCCCAGGAGTTTGAGACCAGCCTGGGTGAGACCCCCATCTGTACAAAAAATTTTTAAAAATTAGCCGGGCATGATGGCAAGCACTCATGGTCTCAGTTACTTGGGAGGCTGAGGTGGGAGGATTGCTTGAGCCCAGGAGGTCGAGGATGCAGTGAGCTGTGATCATGCCACTGCACTCTAGCCTGAGTGACAGAGCAAGATCCTGTCTCAATTAAAAAAAAAAAAAAAAGAAAGAAAGAAAGAAAAGAAAAGAAAAAAGAAAAAGAATGTCCACAAACCCCAAATAAGAGAAATACAAAGAAATCTACATTCAGGCACATAATTTTAAAACTGCCAAAAATCAGAGAAAAAGAGAAAATCTTAAAAACAGCTAGAAAAAGAACACATTACATATAGGGACACCACAATACGAAGTTGGCTGACTTTTAATGAGAAACAATGGAACCAGAAGACAATTGAACAGCAACTCTAAAATGCTGGGGGCTGGGAGGAGCCCTTATGACCCAAATTCCATATCTGGTTTAACTGTCTTTCAAAAATGAAAGCAAAATAAAGACAAAGACAGAGATAATTCATTGCTAGTTGATCTGTCTTACAAGAAATCTAAAGCAAGTCCTTCAGCCTGAAAGGAAATGACACCAGAAGATGATTCAAATCTGCAGAAAGAAATGAAGTACATTGTAAACAGTAAATATTTCAGTAACTATAAAATGCTGATAAAATATGTATTTTTCTTTTCTGCTTTTCATTTATTGAGATGACATAAGACTGTATAAAGAAATAATTAAAACACTGTATTTTGGGGTTTATAACATATATAAGAGTAGTATATATGACAATAGTAGCACAAAAATTGGGAGAGAAAATGAAACTATATTGGAGCAAATTCACTATATTTAACCAGAATTAAATTAATGTGGACATTAACTAACTAACTAATTGGAATAAGTTAAAATGAACATTGCAACACCTTGAGCAATCACTAAGAAAACCATTTAAAAATAGTTTAAAAATTAACAGAAATTTAAATGGCATGCTAATATTATTTAACACAAAAAAAGATGGTTAAAGAAGAAAGAAACAAAATGGGCATTAGACTTATTTGAAACAAATAATAAAATGACAGGTGTAAATATAATCACATCAGACTAAATCAAAAGGTAAGATCCAACAATATTCTCTTTGCCTTTAAAAACCTGATTGAAACAAAGCCCAAATGGAGCTCATATCCAAGGTTACCTGCATCTGAGTCTTCCAGGCAGCTGTCTTAACTTTGGCTCAAGTAAACTCTTTAAATTATATTTTGTGCCTCAGCCTCTTCCTTTTAGGTCAACACTTTTTACAGCTGAAGAGTAGTCTGTGATATGCATATACCACAGGTTGTCTAACCATTCACCCATTTGGGTTGGTCCACTTTTTTGGCTATTCTAAAGATATAGAAAAAAAAAAAACTTAGTTTATCCTATCATACATCCAACTATACTCAGCACAGTACTTCACCTCTGGTCACCAAGAAGTGTGTGGGGATTTCTCCCCACGAAGCAATTCTCTGACAGATTCTTCAATGGACACCAGCTTGATGTCCCCTATCTCAATTCAGTTCTGACAATATCTATGTAAAGATAGCGTCAGATCCCGTAGCTTGGGGGGGCTCAGTCCCACAAGACTGCCTCACACTTCAGATGCTAATCACAAGCACAAGTTGTTGCCCTAGAAGATAGAAGGCAACAAAAAAAAAATCAGAGACCAAGGTGGTTGAAATGAATGCTGTTGCTGTAGTCACTGATGAATGATGACAAGGGCTAGGGCAATGCTACCCAGAGTGTGGTCTGTAGACCAGAACCAGCATATGAGCTGTTTGTTACCAATGAGATCAGCACAGAGATTGATGATAAGCATGGAGAAACTATTATAGCAAATTGAAATCCAATATTATGTGTTCCAATAAATAAAAATAAGGCTTTTGTTCTCTATGACTTTTCCATATATTTTTCTCATAATTCATTTTTAATGTTTTACATATGAACTGGTCTGTGATGAATTGGACATTTTTAAGAAGTGATCCTTCTCCATGGACAGTTTGGGAGACAATGATCTAAGGTGGGTGACTGAGACCAGAAGGAAGTCAAAATCACTGGAGGTGAAAAACAGGGGGTTTGGGAGCATCACAGTCCATGCCAAAGTCCCTGGTTATGGTGCCACACACAGGGAGGTGGTGATGGCGGTGGGAGCCCTGTTTGTGTTCAGGGTCCTGGGGAAGCAGGTGCTGAGGAGGCAGGAGGGAGTCAGAGCTCAGGTGCCTTAAGATCGTGGTATCAGCTGCTTCCAAAAGGGGCATTCCTGTCCATCAACCTCCAAGTTAGCATGAGGCTCACAAACCTTGTATCCAGTTGTCACTAAGGACAGCCTCCTGTGCTTTCCCTGGCCAACACTGCTCCAATGAGTGCTCCAATGGCCTGATGGTCTGACTTCTGTCAGGGATTTGGCAAATAGAAACCCAACCTGTGCAAGCCCCAGTTGGCTTCTGATGGTTGAATGAAAGAGTATGGCCTCAGACACAACTGTCTTCCAAGAGGGTGCCCAGATTCTTCAGGAAGGTGAAGCCCATACCCTTCTGATTCCAAGCTCAGGAGACAGGAATGATGCCAGGGCTGTGGAGTGGGACATCTGGCTCTGAACACAAGGACAAACCTTGGGCTGCAATTTCTAATTTGCATGTAAAGGCAGCAGCATATGGCCACCATCAGTCCTCACAGGGGCCATAGGCCCTGCTGGGGCAGGGAGAGGGGAAAGAGGAAGTACTTGCACTGAAGTCTTTCCTCAGGTAGAGAAGGAGAGAAAGAGTGGGACATGAATCCCAGGGGTCCCTGTGGTGAGGGGAATCACTGAGACTCACACAACCTTGTCAGACATTTATTGGGGGCAGTGGAGCCTGTTCACGCCCCAGGCCTTTCAGATTGATAGGATTTCAATGTGGAACTCTGGCTGCTTTGAAGGGATTGCATATTGGACCTGTAAAAAGCTATCAGTCTGGAAGGCAAGGCTGCTCTCTGGGACCTGGAACAAGCGAAGAGAATTGCACATTTGGCGGTAACATTGCCGGCACTGCCACATGCGGATGCACGACTGGAGCTTGACCACTGCCTGCTCCTGGATGACATAGACCCTCAACAGGGCCTGCTGCCGTTGATGGATCCGTCTCTGCACCAGCGTCCTCCACCAGCACTGAATCATCCAGGCCCTGAGGGCAGCGACCAGCAGGGTCCTGCGCACCAGGACCCCACGCCACCAGGCCTGGATCTTCCCAGCCGCCTTCACCCTTTTTCTGTGATGCAGTTGTGCAACAAGCAACTGGCCAAGCAAAGCAGAGGACTCCCAGTGAATTTATCACCATCAAGCACAGGTGGTTCTCTAAAGAATCAGCCCTCTCCCTGCCAGTTTTGAGGACCCAGGAGACCTGGGTGGGGTTTGTCCTCTACTTTTGTCCTGTCCATGGCTCTGGACACCCTCAGAGTCCCAGTGCCCTCATCTATGAAATTGGGATATGCTTGATCTGTGGACTTCTTGGGTTCATGGGACTAGGGGAGACACTTTCTGGTTCAGAAGACCCGACTGGAAGACCAGGATGTGAGGAACTGAAGGATTCTTATAAGAATCCATGAACCTCTGCATTTATGGCCTGTGTCTTGGTCCAAACCCCAGCCACGATGCTGCCTCCTAATGTCTTGCAACACTTCAGGGTCTCCCTTCACCTCACTTTTGTGGACTTCCACTACCACGTCTCAGTCCCTCCTCATTCTCCTGGGCCTTTCCACTTCCTGTGCTGAGCCCCACCTATCATGGCTGTGCACACAAAGCTTCCTCCCCTTTTACCGTCTATCTTCATACCTTACTCAGTTCACCCAGGAGAGGGAGGGCTTGAGGGGATAAGAGGGCTATGCTGAGCCAACCCCTGTGGGACCAGAGATGGAGCTCCATTCTAAGAACTCTGGGGTCAAAGAGTCAATGATCTGCAATTCTCTCACCCTCCTGGGCCTCACCTACCTTCCGCTTCCTCTGTCTTTCTACTGCATCTTCATCTGGACCACCTTTCTGCAATCAGAGTGTGGGTGTAGGGGAGCATGGGTGAGGACCAGCCTGACTGCAAAGTCCCCACAAGTCCAGTTCCCCATTCTTTGCCTGGGTCCTAAGAAGTGGCCTGGTGCTTTCCTGGGCCATGGGACAACTCCCCACCTGTGGGGAGTGTGTGTGCCTGAGTCTTACACAGCATTTACTGCCCATGGTTTGGAGCAGTGGTTCAGGTGATCATCTCCCTCTGGTTGTTGTTCCCTGACCTTGGCAGGGGCAGGAAAGGTGGAGAAAGAGATGGCCATGATGTCACAAAGGCAACTATGACCAGGGGCCAGGGTGCCTTTTCCAGGCTCAAAATTGATGGATAAAGAGCAAATACCTGGCTCTCCTGTTGACTTCCTTGGGCAATTCTCTGTTGAGGAAAAATTGTGCAAATATCATTTCTCAGATTGTCATCTGCCTGTTAACTTTTTTCATGGTTGCCTTTCCTTCCACAGTTATCTTTAATTTTGATATGCTTGAATCCATTGCCCCTTTACAATTCTGCTTTTGTAGTTTTCTAATAAAGTGCTTTTCCATCCAGCATCATAGATTTTTCTATTAGACCCTGGTCTACCTTTTACATTAAAGTGTTTTAACATTTAATATAGATTTTTTATAAGACATTTACAATTAGAAATGACAAAGGGGATGTTATGTACCACTGACCCCAAAGAAATAAAAATAGCCATCAGAGACTACTATGAACATCTCTATACACATAAGCCAGAAAACCTAGAAGAGATGAATAAATTCCTGGACACATACACCCTCCCAAGACTGAAGCAGGAAGAAATTGATTCCCTGAACAAACTAATAATGAGCTCTGAAATTGAATTAGTAGTAAATAGGTTACCAACCAAAGCAAGCACAGGACAAGAAGGATCCACAGCTGAATTCTATCAGATGAACAAAGAAGAGCTGGTGCCATTCCTACTGAAATTATTCCAAAAAATGGAGGAGGAAAGACCCTTTCCGAGCTCGTTCCATGAGGCCAGCATCATCCTGATACCAGAACCTGGCAACACCAAAACTTTAGGTCAATATCCTTGACAAAGAGTGATACAAAAATCCTCAACAAAGTACTTGCAAACTAAATCCAGCAGTCCATCAAAAAGCTAATCCACCATGATCAAGTAGGCTTCATCCCTGGAATGCAAGGTTGGTTCAACATATGCAAATCAATAAAATGTGATTAATCACATAAACAGAATTACAGATGAAAACCACATGATTATCTTAATAGATGCAGGAAAAGCTTTTGATGAAATTCAACATCTCTTCATGTTACAAACTGTCAATAAACTAGGTACTAAAGGGACATACCTCAAAATAATAAGAGCCATGTATGACAAACCCACAGCCAACATCATACTGAACAGACAAAAGCTGAAAGCATTCCCCTTAAAAACTGGCACAAGACAAGGATGGCCTCTCTCACCACTCCTATTCAACATGGTATTGGAAGTCATCGTGTAGCTTTAGAACATCAGGGAAAAAGAACATACTAAAAGTTTCCAGAAAAAAAAAAAAAAAGAATAGGTCACATCCCACAAACAAAGGAATCAGAGTGATAGAAGACATTGTATTGGTCGGTTCTTGCACTGCTATAAAGAAATACCTTTAAAAAAAAAAGAAAAAAATACCTGAGACTGGGTAATTTATAAAGAAAAGAGGTTTAGTTGTCTCACGGTTCTACAGGCTGTCCAGAATGCATAGTGGCTTAATAAACCAGTGCAGGAACAGAAAACCAAGTACCACATATTCTCACTTAGAAGTGGGAGCTAAGTAATGAGAACTCATGGACACAAAGGGAAACAACAGACACTGGGGACCACTTGAGGGTGGAGAGTGGGAGGAGGGAGAGGAGCAGAAAAGTAACTATTGAGTACTAGGTTTAGTACCTGGTGATGAAATAATCTGCACAACAAACCCCTGTGACATGAGTTTATCTATATAACAAACCTGCATATGTACCCTGACCCTAAAATAAAAGTTAAAAAGCAAAACCAAAACTAAAAACCAACAACAAAAAAGAACTTCATGTACCTTGTTTAAAAAAACTTACAATTATAAATTAATTACAAAATTATGAATAATTATAATCTAGCATTTATAAAAATTATAAACAATTATAAATTAATTATAAAAATTATAATTAATAAAAAAGGACAGTATGCATTTCCTGCCTTATTCTTTCCCAAAAGAATCTCCCATTGCTGAGACAACTATTTTTAACTCTTCTGTATATTTCTCCTATGATTTACCTCAATAACATGCTATATTGAAAATTCTTTATTTTCTCTTTTAGATATTACCTCTTGACTTCTTTTCATGAAGCGAAGATTTACCTGTTCCCATCCTTCTGCTCTCCTCTCAATATGATTATAGCATCACAGTTTTTTGTTCAGTAAGTATTCAGTACTTCCATCATTGTGATTATGTATCCTGTCCATGACTTAGCAACATGGCATTGCTATGATGTAGCCTTTCATGCATTTCCTGTCTGTTTTTCCTGGAGCTCTTGATTGCCATGGTTTGTACTAATTTATCCCCAACTTTTCATCAAAACTCGGATAATCCATCAACTCTGCTTTTTTCATGGACCCCTGCACCACTCTGTAATCTGGGTAGCTGCTCTTAAAGCCTACTGCCTGGTCATTCTTCTGGGGTACCCTCTCCCCAGCATCCTAGGAATTTCCTTCCCCTCTTCCCTGTGAGGACTGTCCCACTTACGGATCCCACATGTTGCAGGCACAGTTTTACTGGGGATGCAGAACCACTCTGGATGCTACGGGATAAGGAATTCATAATAGGAATTAGAACATATGCAATTGTGCTAGCATCTGGGGAAAAGAGGGTATGACATTCTAGGTAGAAAATTCTTTTTTGTTCCTTTCTTTTTTTTTTTTTTTCTTTTCTTTGGTTTTTCTGAGCGAGGATCTCTCTCTGCCACCCAGGCTGGAGTGTAGGTGCACAATCACAGCTCACTGGTTGCGACCTCCCAGGCTCGGTGAACTCAGCCAATTTTTCCACCTTGGCCTCTGGAGTAGCTGGGACTACAGGCACGTGCCACTGTGCCTGGCTAATTTTCTTGTAGAGATGGAGTTTCACCATGTTGCCAGGCTTGAAAATTATTTTTCTCTCAGAATATTGAGGAATTTGTTACACTTTCTGTTAGAGGTTTGGATCTGTGCCCTTGCCCAAATCTCGTGTTGAATTGTAATCCCCAATGTTGGAGGGGGGGCCTGGTGGGAGGTAATTGGATCATGGGGGTGGTTTCTCAAGGTATAACACCCTCCCCTTTGGTGTTGTCATGGCAGTAGTGAGTGAGTGAGCTAATGTGAGATCTGGTTGTTTAAGTGTGGCACCTCTCCCTCTCTGTCTCTTCTTCCTGCTTATGTAAGATGTGCCTGTTTCCCCTTCACTGTCTGCAATGTTTGTAAGTTTCCCAGTGCCTCCTCAGAAGTCACTATGCTTCCTGGACAGCCTGCAGAACTGTGAGACAATTAAATCTCTTTTCTTTATAAATTGCCCAGTCTCAGTTATTTCTTTATTTTTCCTTTTATTTTTAAAGGTATTTCTTTATAGCAGTGCAAGAATTGACTAATACAATGTCTTTTATCACTCTGGAATGTGACCTATTTTATTTTTTCTTTCTGGAAGCTTTTAGGATCTCCTTTTTCCCTGATGTTCTGAAACTACAAGATGATATACCTAGAGATGTGTTTTCGTTTTGCTAACCGTTCATTGTGTTGGGCACTGGTTTAGCCTTGTAAATTAAAAATTCATGTCATTTACTGGGAAACTTTGTTGTATTTGCTTTTTTTTTTTTTGAGGATTTCTACCCCTCAATTTTTTTAGTTTTCTACGTTTAGAAATCCTGTTAGTCAAATCATAGATTGATCCTTGAAGTTTCTAATATTTTCTACACTATATTCCATCTTTTTGTGTCAGTTTCTCCCTGTAAGGTGATGGAATATGTCTTCCTGGCCTTGAGTTTGACTATATGACCTGCTTTGGTCAATAGAAAAATGTAGAATGACAGTATGCAAGTTCTGGACTGGGCTTTAAGAGGCTTGTCCATTTACGTTTGCCATCTTAAACTTTTTGATCTACTTTCTGGTAGTTTTTGATATCTTTTAAAGAGTCATTCCCATCCTCTGAATATTCTTTTTTTATAGCACACTATGCTTGTTTTATTGATTTGTTGTTATCTCTTATGGGTCTAAGAATACTAATGATAGCTGTTAGTGGTGTGTGTGTGTGTGTGCGTGTGTTTGAGACGGAGTCTTGCTCTGTCACCTAGGCTGGAGTGCAGTGGTGTGATCTTGGCTCACTGCAACTTCCGCCTCCTGGGCTCCAGTGATCCTTCTGCCTCAGCCTCTTGAGTAGCTGGGATTACAGGCACCCGCCACCACACCCAGCTAGTTTGTTGTATTTTTAGTTGAGATGGATTTTCACCATGTTGGTCAGGCTGGTGGTCTCAAACTCCTGACCCCTAGTGATTCACCGACCTCGGCTTCCCAAAGTGCTGGGATTACAGGCATGAGCTTGTGTGTGGTTTTTAACCTTTTCTCTTGTCTCTAATATTTCTTCTAAGCCCTTCTCTTCTGTTTTTGTTTTTGTCTCAGTTTTCTCAGATAGAAATCCCAGAACCTTGGGTAAGACAGTAGGATAATGAAACCTGTCTGTAAGCCTTTGGGGAGCTGATTTGGGAGAGAGGGCTGGAGGCTTCTCTATTTAGCCTGTACAGTTGCACATACTCCCTTGGTTTTTGGTGTGGTGCTTCACCACTGCCGCCAACTACGCCTGCATTCCCTGCATTCAGATGCTCTCTGGTTCAACTTATCTAGTAAATAAACCTGTCTTCTGCCAAGGTGGGGATAGAACTCTTGCCTGGCTATACGCATCAAGGAGGAGGATGGGGTGAACATACAATTTCATAAATAAATGTTTATTTCCCACTTAGAGTCTTAGTAGACAGTGCCTCAATTTCACACTAATCATTTTGTAACACATTTTAGTGTCTGTGAACACTTTTCTATTCTGTTTTCAAAATTGATTTAATGAACTGTGGAAATTAATTCTGCAATACATTTTTTTTGTTTGTTTTTTGCATTAGTTTGTCAAGTTCCCGTAAGTCATGATGAGATTTTGATTAGAATTGACCTTAATTTTATTGTATTGGAATGTGAGTTTCATAGATTACCATGGAGACAAGCGACAATATTACAATGTTAAGAAATTCTATCAATAAATATACTATGTCTCTCCTTTGTTCAGATCTTTTTTTATGTTCTTCTGAGCTGTGGGCAAAGTGGCACTTGCAATGTCAGAGATAAGGAGCGCACTTTGCTTTTGCTCTTCCTTTCTTGTTGCTGGCTGGATTGTGAATGTAATTATTGAGTTTGAAACAATCATTTTTGAATCAATAATGACCTTGGAAATGGAGGCAAAACATAGCAGAGTAACACATTAGAGGGTCCAGGATTCCTCACCCTGTGGAGTGCCATATCAGGTCTGGATCACCTATACCGGACTTACATGGGAAAGAGAAAAAAATCTCATTTATTGAAACCACTGTTTCTTTGGTTGTGCTGTCACTCACAGCCACCTTCATCCTGATATATCTAGGCTCCGCCCCAGTGGTTCTTCGGGTGGGCGGCCCCGGAGCAGCAGCCACAGCATCACCAGGAGTCTTGTTAGAAACACACATCCTGGGATCCTGATACACTGAATCAGAAGTGCTAGGTAGGGCCCAGTAATCTGGGCTGTGACCTATAGGTCAAAGCTGTGACCAATCCACCTTTGATTTACCCTCTGGCCATTCTGATTCTAGGTATGAGCTGATTTACCCACAGAAGATTCCCTTTCACTGTAGTTTTCTGCATTACAGAAATGTTCTGGTCTTCTGTGTGTATTAATTGAGAGACAATTCCACAATTACTGTCAAGAACTCCCTAGGCACACCTTCTGTCAAGTTTCTCATTCAAAAACCAGTGTTTGAAAACCACTTCCTGAAATGTTGCTCATAAAATATTAAGCCCTCTTTGTTTATTAATCCAGTGAAATGTCTTACTCTTTAGATATCTGACCTGGCAAACTGACCTGAGTGAAAATGGGGGTGTCTTGACTCACAAAATTAAAATTTCCAGTAGGACAGCTAGGCAAGCTTCAGGCATGGCTAGGCTTAGTCCCTCCCTTTCCATCCCTTGACTGTACTTTCCTCGGTTGGCTTCATTCTCAGCAAGCTTTTTCTGTGTGGTGCCCCCAGCAGCTCTGCTTACATAATCTCTATAGTTAGCAAACCCAGTAGTTCCAAGACAGCACAAAAGCTGAGGCTTATTGGCCTGATTTGGGTCTCGTGCTCAGCCCTGAACCAATCATATGCATTAAGTGACCATATGCATCAAGTGTTCTGATATTCCTCTAAGCACTTGCACATCCTGGGTTGATGAGCCTGAGTGAGTCATGCCTCCATCATGCAGGAGCAACCACGTTGGTACCTTCTCTAAGGCTTCTCCATCCCATGGTTGTGCGGCTATTGGAGACAAAGGGTCATCATAATTTAGAAAAGCAAATTGATTGTCTGAGGACTGGCTGGTGAAATAATCATCTTTACCAGTAATTTACAGATCCAGAAAATCCAGTGAGTCTAAGAGATGGAAGGAGACATGACATCAGCAGAGAGTAGACAGAGGGAATAGAAGCCAATAGGGAAAGATACTGAGGAATGGAAGAGACAGAGTGAAAGACAACATTACGAGAAGTGGGCAGAGACAGAGACAGGCAAAACCCTACAGAGAAAGAGAGCAGCATGCACCCATGAAGTGGAGGGGCAACAATAGACCCTGCCCCACCACGCTGTGCACACAGACACACTCACACACTTGGGAACACTGCCAGAGAGAAACGATAACACAGAGAGACTGAGGCTGAGAACAACATGCCTATTGGGTACGAGGGATCTAGGGTGGCTGGCTGAGAGAATCATTCAGGGATGGTGGGATAGTTGTTTCTAGGCAGTAGGATTTCAACTGTGCTTAAGTCACAGATCTAAGATCTGGATGGACTTGTGAATCGTGTATTCATTCATCAGATAAATATTTATTAAAACAACAAAAATACAACAACCACCCAATGAAAATTATTGCAAGGGACTTGAATATACATTTGTCCAAAGATGGTATTCAAATGGAGACCATGCACCTAAGTCAGCAAAATTAGTTATTAGGTTATTAGGGAAATGCAAAATCAAGCCCACAATTAAACATCACATCACACCAACTAGAATGGTTATAATTTTTTTAAAAAAGAGAAAATGGTGAATGTTGGCAAAGTTGTACAAAAATCAGAACCCTTGTACATTGCTGGAGGGAATGTAAAATGATGTAGCTGCTAGATATTCACAACAGGTTTATTCACGAGAGCCAAAGGTGCAAACATCCAAATGTCCATCAACGATGAATGGATAAGCAAAGTGTGGCATATCCATACAATGGAATATTACTCAGGATAGAAAGTAATAATATATGCTACAACATAGATGAACCTTGGAAACATTATGTTCAGTGAAAGAAGCCAGACACAAAATATTGTATAATTCCATTTATGTGGAAAATCTAGAATAGGTAAATTCATGGAGACAGGTGCAGATTGGGGATGGCCAGGGGCTGGAGATAATGGAAAATGGTAGTTTAATGAATATGGGTGTATTAGTCCGTTTTCACCCTGCTGATAAACACATACCTGAGACTGGGCAATTTATACAAGAAAGAGGTTTGTTGGACTTACAGTTCCACTTGGCTGGGGAGGCCTCACAATCATAGCAGAAGGTAAGGAGGAGCAAGTCACATCTTACATGGATGGCAGCAGGCAAAGAGAGAGCTTGTGCAGAGAAACTCCCATTTTTAAAACCATCTGATCTCGTGAGACCCATTTACTGTCAAGAGAACAGCATGGAAAAGACCCATCCCTATGATTCAATCATCTCCCACCAGGTTCCTCCCACAACACATGGGAATTATGGGAGCTACAAGATGAGATTTGGGTGGGGACGCAGAGTCAAACCATATCAATGGGATTTTCTTTTATTGTGATAAAAATGTCTGAGAACTTTATAGAGATGTTGATTGCTTAACATTGTGAATCTGCTAAATACCACCAAATTGTTAATTTTAGTTCAGTGGTTAATCTTACGTGGTTAATCTAAAAATGATTAGTCTCATTCATTGCATGAAGATCACTTCAAACTCACAGACGACACACACACACACACCCCCTTCTTCTTTTTCTTTTTATTTTTTTTTGAGACAGAGTCTCACTCTGTCCCCCAGGCTGGAGTGCAGTGGTGTGATCTTGGGTCACTGCAGCATCTGCCTCCCAGGTTCAAGCAATTCTCCTGCTCAGGCTCCTAAGTAGCTGGCACTACAGGCACGTGCCACCATGCCTGGCTAATTTTTGTATTTTTGGTAGAGACGGGATTTCACCATGTTGGTCAGGCTGGTCTTGAACTCCTGACCTTGTGATCTGCCCATCTCGGCCTGCCAAAGTGCTGGGATTACAGGCGTGAGCTGCCGTGCCCGGCCCTGCTTCCTGTTTTTTTTTTAATGAGTCAGGTGTGGCCACAAGCGGAGACAAAAAGAAACTCAAGAAAACTAAGTTTATTACACTCACAGGACCTGGTTCTTACAGTGGGCGGCATGCCATGTAGGGTGACAAGGGAAGCTCCAGACTTTCGTCAGGTGGCAGAGGAAGAAGCAAGGGGAGATCTGAGGTCGTGGTCTTAATCGAGTTTCTGAGGGAAAGGCAAGGTAGGGCAGGGTAAAGCGTTAGGGTTGGCTGGTTGGCATAATGTGGTGAGTTCTAAGCTGCAGAGGTGGTCCCTAGTGTTCTGGTACCTGCCCAGGAATAACTAAGGGAGAGGAATGTTGCCTCCTGTGGTGTAAGAGCCAGATGCAGGAGGTCGGCTCTGGATTGGGTAGTTTGGATATCTAAATATATACAGATTGAGTACCCCAATCTAAAAATTCAAAACCCAAAATGCTCCTAAATCAGAAGTTTTTTGTGTGCTGAAATGAAGCTCAAAGACAATGCTGTTGGAGAATTTTGGATTTTGATTTTCAGATGAGGGATGCTGAATATGTAAGTAAAAAGTAAATATTCCAACATCCCCCAGAATCTGAACTCTGAAGCTATTCTGCTCCTAAGCATTTCAGATAAGGCTACTGAACCTGTACATATGTGTAGATACATACAGAGGGAACCACAATGTTCCAAGTCCCATTCTAGGTCCTGGGAACACAGCACTGACCCCAGAATCCTGCTCTCCTGGAGGCAACCCTCTAGAAAGAAAAAGAAAATAGACAATAGGGTAAGACAAGCTCAAGTAGTGATGAGGACTTTGAAAACAGGAAGGCAGACTGAGGAGCTGGAGAGGGTGCCTTTGCACGGAGACAAACCTGCATGGAGTGGGAGCTCCATACAGAAGCCGATGACCCTAGGAGAGCAGGCAGCAGGGCAAAGTTCTCAGATGGGAACATGCTTGGGATAGTTGCTAAGTAGCAGAGCAGCCAGGGAGAACATAAAGAGGATGAGATGGCCAAGGCCAGACTATGCAGGGTTATGCAGACCCAGGAAGGGCTTTTGAACTTGCTCTAAGTGGTAAGGGAAGAGGCTGGAGCATTAAGAGCCAAGAATGGCACAGGCCTCCATATTGCATGGCCACAGGTGGCGCCATTACGCACACCACAGCAGGAACCAGTCTCCCTGGAGCTGACTTTCTTGGTGGCTCTGCAACCCCAACCCCCTCACCTATGGCCGACATTGCCAATCTATCACAAGCCCTGCTCCTCCAGCATGGGGCTGTCACATCCTTCTCCCCACAGGACCCCAGACAAGCCGGCTGACTACTCAGAGCTGACCTGTGAGATGCCAGGTACCTGTCCTCATTTGCCTGACCCTTTGCTGAGACAAAGATCTCTCAGAGTTTGTTTAATAGAGAACTAGGGACACATAGTTGGAGCAGACCTGGTCAGTTCTTTATTGGGAAGGGGATGCAGTCTGTAATTCGGCAAATCTGTGATCCCAGGAAGATGTCAAGCTCAAGACTCAGCTGGCTTGTTGAGAGCTCATAGCTGCCATGGAAAAAGCCACGGGTATGGCAACTTCTCCAGCGCCAGTAGACCTGGATGATGCGGACAGCATTGAGCAAACGACAGTAACGACGGCGGACACGCCACATGCGGACCCAGGACTGCAGCCTGACTGCTGCCCATAGCTGCCGTGTGCAGAGCTCCAGCGCCGCCCGCCGCCTCTTCGCCTGCAGCCTTGCCAGCACCTGCCTCCACCAGCACTGAATGATCAGGGCTCTGAGGGCCGCGTGCAGTAGTGTGCGTCGCACCAGCGTGCCCCGCCACCAGGCCTGGATTTTCGTGGAGGCCTGTTCAATGTCACCAGGTGGCTTCTTTAGTGGGGAGGGGTGCAAGGAAAAGGAAGGACACTCAGGAAACATTATCACACATCAGTCAGTCCCACTCAGTCAGTCCCAGGGTGTGAGAGGAAGGGGCCTTGATCCTCTATGAGGAAAGGCCCTTTCCTCTAAAGTTCATGAATGGGACAAGAGCTGGACCTCGGAGACCTATTAGGTTTCCACTCTGCCACCCACAGGTTAATGGACATGGTCACCTCACCTTGACCTCTGAGTCTCAATGTCCCCAACTGCAAAATGGAGGTAGACTGCCCTGGCTACCTCACTTGAATTTCCATTGACCTTGTCAGCCAGTCTAGAGCAAGGACACTGTGTTCAAGAGGTTAAAGTGTTACCATGATCCACCTGGGCCGGACCACCCCTGACATCCATGATCCTTCCCTTCAGATCCTCCCACCAGCTGGTGTCCTTTGCTGGCCCTGCCCTCTCCTCCCCAACTCCAGCTCAAATCCACAACCTGCTTTCTCCCTCTGTCATGTCATAGTATTAAAACTTTCCCCATTCCACACAGTTTGGGATCTTTCTCATTTATTTCTACTTTGACCTCTTTTGACTTTCATACCTTAAACTTCAGTTACCCTACACACACATACACACATGTGCACACTGACATGCACACACACAAATTTTAGACTTAGATTGATTTCCCTTTATTTGGCCATGCATTATCCAAACAGTGCTCATCACTCTACTCTTGAACTTTACATGATCTTGTCCCCACATTTAAGGGTTTATCTGCCCTGCACCCAAGTCTCCATGTCTCAGTCACCCACCTTTTTCAGGCTGACAAGGAAATGGGAGAAGAAGATATCTCAGGATGAATCACTTGCTGATCATCCCTGCTCTGTATATGGCAATTATTTGTCCTGGTTGCTTGGGATATTTTTAGTTTATGATGCTTATTCCTGAGAAATAATAGCACCACCTTCCACAAATGTATCCTGGTTTGGGCTGTAAATTTCATGGTCATCCCAAGCTATGAGCCATAGAGAAGATAACCATCACTACTGGGCGACGAGGGTCAGAGAAGTTGCCTGTCAGGGGTCTGTCCCAAAATTAAGGGCCTGCTGTGACCTACCTTTGTTTGGCGTGGAAGAAGAGGTTCTCGTATCTTACTCCTTTCCTCTTTCAGTTTCTGTTTCATCAATATGTTTTTTTCATCATCATTCATTGCATTGTTTTTAAACTGTCCAGGCTTCTGCAATCAAGTAAAGAGGAGAGGTGTGGGTAGGTCGTTCTTTGTGGAATTCAGTGCCAAGTCCACCAAATCTTCAATCTCCTAGCTTACCCAGAGACCCTAGACACAGGGCTTGCATCTTGATTAACTGTGGGAATTCACCTTCCCCTGCCTGCACCTTTGGGTGAACTGGTGGTCTCTCACTCCACAGCTAATGCCCATGATTTGGAGGTAGTTGGTTCAACCTCTTCAGGTCCGCAATCCCCTAAATTGCCCATAGTTAGGGGTTAGATGACTCCATCATGCTTGTGTGTACTCCTCTAGCCATATATGTGACAGGAAGAGGGGAGGAGGGGAGAGTGATAATGATATAAGGGCACCTATGACTCTGGTTATACAGTCTGGTTGATAAAAACATAAAATTGAGGTAACTTTAAATCTCCATCAATAGAAAAGTCAATCACATGGATTTCAAATCAGTCAAACAATAGAGCCAAAGAAGGATGACAAAGAATAAGTTTGCAGCAAAATTCTTAATCAGGTGCTTCAGAAAACGAAGTTTATGTATGGCTAAGAAGCACACAAAAAGATGCTCTACATCATTAGTTATGGGGAAAATAAAAACGGGACCCAAATGGGATACCCTTAGGAATCCTAGAGAATGGCTGAAAAATAAGGACAGCACTAAATATTGGCAGGGACACAGAATGGCTGGATCTCTTATAGACTGCTGCTGGAAAGGTGTAAAACAGTAGAACCACTTTTGAAAATGGTTTGGCACTTCCTAATGAAGTTCGACATGCATCTGCCTTATAGCTCAGCAGTTCACTCCTAAAAGTTTGCAGATAAAAAATGAAAACATGTATCTACAAAATATATGTGCACAAATGTTCATAGCAGCTTTATTGAAATAAGTCAGAACTGGAAACAACCTGAATGTCCACTAACAGGAGACTAGGCAAAAAATTAGTGATGTATTCATGTAATATAATAATACACAGTAATAAAAATAATTACATTCATAAAGAGTATACTATGTGTGCATCTCAGAAACATTAAGCTAAATGAAAGAAGCCAGATGTCCGGGCGCAGTGGCTCACGCCTGTAATCCCAGCACTTTGGGAGGCCGAGGCAGGTGGATCACCTGAGGTCAGGAGTTCGACACCAGCCTGACCAACATGGTGAAACCCCGTCTCTACTAAAAATACAAAAAATCAGCCGGGTGTGGTGGCAGGTGCTTGTAATCCCAGCTACTCAGGAGGCTGAGGCAGGAGAATCTCTTGAACCCAGGAGGCAGAGGTTGCAGTGAGCCGAGATTGTGCCATTGCACTCCAGCCTGGGCAACAGAGCAGAACTCCATCTCAAAAAGAAAGAAAGAAACTAGACATAAAGGAGTACCTACAAGGTGATTCCATTTATATAGAATTATAAAACAGACAAAGTTAATATACAGGTAAGGTAAATAAGAATGGAATTTACATTTACTGTAGGGACAGAAGGCATGTTGCTTGCAAACAGTACAAAGGAGGAGGAATGTGCTGTCTCTTGTTTTGGGTGGTGGTTTCTGGCGAATATAGGATTGCAAAAACTCATTAAGCTGACCACTTAATGAAACCACAAAGAATAACTTTGTTCTGTATGTACTGTAGTGGAACAGTATACGGGAAACAAATGGAACTGAAGGATAATATGTTCCCTGTCATTTATAACACATGCATATAAATATCCAAGATTTGGAGGTAGTGCACGTGTTATAAATGTTTTCTTGCAGTAGTTTCATAGTTTGAGGTCTTAGATTTAAGTTTTTAATCCATTTTGTTCTGAAATTAAAAGATGATATACCTAGAGATGGGTTTTGGTTTTTCTAACCATTGAATGTTATGTCTAGCCATTCAATGTATTGGGCACTGGCTTAGTCTTTTAGTCTAAAATTTCACACCATTTACCTCTGGGAAACTTTTTTGCATTAGTTTTTTGATAATTTCAATCCCTTAATTTTCTTCATTTTCTATTTTTAGAAATCCTGTTAGTTAGATCACAGCATGATCTTCTAATTTCTTAATAGTTTCTATTCTATCTTCCTTCTCTTTGTCTTTTTGTTCTACTTTCTGGAAGAGTTTCTGTTTCTGAAATGGTCTTTACCACCCTCTGAATAGTGTTTTCTTTTAGGGCACACTGCTCTTCCATCACTGATTTGTTATCATCCATATGGGACTAACAATATGAGTTATAATCGTTAGGGGTTTAAAACATTTTCCCTTCTGTCCCCAGTTTTCCATCACCTGGAAAATTGTTAGAAACATACATTCTGGGACCTCGATAACACTGAATGAGAAGTGCTAGATGGGGCCCAGTAATCTGCTTTACCAAGCCTTCCACAGGCTGGGACTACAGGCACACACCACTATACCCAACTAACTTTTTATTTTTATTTTTTTATAGAGACAGGGTTTCACCATGTTGCCTAGACTGGTCTCAGACTCCTGGGTTCAAGTTAACTGCCCGCCTCAGCCTCCCAAAGTGTTGGGATTACAGGTGTGAGCCACTGTGCCCAGCCCAGACAAAGCATTTTCTATGCCTGACCTCATCACAGATAACTATAAACTCAAGAATCTTGTCGGGGCATATTGGTGGTTAGAGAAGCATATATGGTGACCTGAGGATTTAACTCATAAACATTTTTTTCTAGCTTCCTTTTCATGTTTGAGGTGGGATGGTAACTAATTGAAAAGGTTAGCAGATTCCAATTTTCTTATCAATTAGTTACTTAAGCTATTCCTTTTCCCTTGGTAAGGAGTCTTTTAAAAAAGGCAATTAAAAAAATCTTTTGGGAAGCTTCTGCATATAATTAAAATAGACATCCCTGGGTGGGTCTAATTTGGGAGCCCTTGTTTTTAAATGCACTTCTTAGATGAATAGGCTTGTTTATCTAGAACATTCTACAAATGACCATTATAATTCCAAATTATTTTTAATAAGATTTCATTGTTTCTGTAAGTATAATCATGCATCGTTTAATGATGGGAATACATTCTAAACCATCACTAGGTGATTTCCTCATTGTGTGAACACCATAGAGTGTACTTACACAAGCCTATAGCCTACACCTACACTGTAGGATAGAGCTTACATCCCCTAGGCTACAAACCCATATTACCATACTGTTACCACACTGAATACTGTAGGCAATTGTAACACAATGATAAGTATTTGTGTATGTAAACATAGAAAAGTGCAGTAAAAATATGGTATAAAAGATTTTAAATGGTAGACCTGTGTAGGGCACTTACCGTAAATGGAGGTTGTGGGACTCAAAGTTGTTCTAGGTCAGTGAGTTAGTGAGTGGTAAGTGAATGTGAAGGCCTAAGATGTTATCATGTACTGCTATAGATGATGTTAACACTGTACATGTGGGCTAGACTGAATTTATTTTAAAATTTTCTTTATTCAATAATAAATTGACCTTAGCTTAATGTAACATTTTTACTTTATAAACATATTATTTTTTAAAAATTTTGACCCATAATAACACAGCTTAGAACATAAACATACTATATAGCTCTACAAAAATATATTCTTTATATACTTATCCTATTAGCTTTTTTCTATTAGAATTTTTTTGTACTTTCAAAACTTTTTTGCTGCATATTACGGAACAAACATACATTAGCCTAGGCCTACACAAGTTCAGGATCATCCATATCACTGTCTTCCACCTCCACATCTTGTACTTCTAGAACATCTTTAGGTCAAAAACATGCATGGAGCTGTCATCTCCTAAGATTACAATGCCTTCTTTTGGAATTCTTGGTTTATGGTGGTTGTTCTTGAATAAGGATTAATAGCAACACCTTTCACTCACAAATGTTTCTTAGTTCAGACAAGAAATTCCATGATTAACCCATTCTATGAGCCACAGAGAAGACAACCACCACTACTGGGTGGCATGGGTCAGAGATGTTGCCGGTGTGGGGTCTCTTCCAACCTTGAGGGCCTGCTCTGACTTACCTTTGGTTTGTGGGGAGGAGGCATTTTCTCCTGCTCCATTTGTTTTGACAGTGTGGTTTCATCATCATCTTCTGTTATGGTTTGGTGAACACGGCCATCCTTCTGTAATCAGATTTTAAAGAGGAGAGGTGTGGGTAGATAGTTCTTTATAGAACTCAGGGCACACTCCCTCACTGTGACTGAATCCCCTGTGTCTGTCCTGTCTGCAGGATACCCAGTTTTCAGCCAAGTTCACCACATCCTTAACCTCTTGGCTTTCACAGAGACCATAGACACAGGGCTTGAATCCTGATTAACTGTGGGAATTCACCTCCCCCTGCCTGCATCTTTGGGTGAACTGGTTGTCTCTTACACAAAATTGAATGCCCATGACTTGCAGGTAGTTGGTCAACCCCTTCAAGTCTGCAATCCCCTTCAGTGCCCATGATTAGAGGCTAGAGGTCTCCATTATACTCAGGTCTGTACTTCTCTAGCCACCACTGTGGCAGGAAGTGTGAAGGAAGAGAGAGTGTGATGATGTCATAAGGGCACCTATGACTCTGGCATCAGAATGGCTTCCAACAGCTGAGTCTTTTCCAGTGAATATGTGGAACTCTTGTCCATTCTTTTTTGCAGACATGGCCACAATTTGACTACAAAAGCAAGCCACTGGAAATACTGGCTAATTAGCACAAAGAAGTATATAGTTAGTGATTTCAATCTAGTTAATAAAAACAAAAATTGAGACAACATAAACCTCCATCAAATACAAAATTCAGTCACATGGATTTCAGTTCAATGAAACAATTGAGCCATATAAAGATAAGAAAGAACGAATTAGTAGAAAAATTCTCAAACAGGTGCTTCAGAAAAGGAGATTTAGGAATGACTAAGAAGCACATGAAAAGATGCTCAATATCAATAGTCATGAGGGAAATAAAAATGAGAACCAAAATGAGATACCTCTAGACACCCTAAGAGAATGGCTAACACAAGAAATCTGACAGTACTAAATCCTGGCAGGGATTCAGAATGCGTAGATCTCTTATACACTGCTGATAAAAAGGTGTGAAACAGCAGAACCACTTTGGAAAATGGTTTGGCACTTCCTAATGAAGTTCAACATGCACCTGTCCTGTAACTCAGTAGTTTCAGTCCTAAAATTTGCAAATTAAAAATGAAAACACATTTTACAAAGACATGTGCATGGATATTCATAGCAGCTTTATTCAAATAGGTCAGAACTGGAAACAACCCAAATGTCCACCAACAGGTGACTAGACAAAACTTTCGTGGTATATTAGTATAATGGAGTAATAGTAACAAAAATGAATATATTCATACACGGAATAACATAGATGACTCTTAGAAACTTGGTGCTAAATGAAAGAAACTAGACTACCTATAGGTTCTTCCATTTATATAAAATTCTAAAACAGGTAAATCTACCAGGTAAAATGAACCACAATAGAAAATGAATCAGATGAATTCCTAGATATAGGGGTTTTGCTTGCAAACAGCACATGGAAACAAAGAGGAATGTGCTATATCTTGTTTTGGGTGGTGGTTACCAAGGAATATGGAACTGTGAAAATTCATCAAACCAAGTACTTAATGAAGCCACAGAAAAGAACTTTGTTCTGTCTGTACTGATATGGAGTACAAGTGAAACAAATTGAGTTGATGGACAAATACTTATAAGCATATCATAATAGTACTATGAAAACAAGGGAATTAAGAAGACATACACAACCAAAATTTATCAATGATTATCTTTGATGAGGCCAGTAGAATTGGAGGGACAGGGCACACTCCCTCATTGTGGCTGAAACCCCTGTGTCTGTCCTGTCTGCAAGGCACCCAGTTATCAGCCTCCTGGGAGAACAGGACACACACAGAGAAGGATATCTCTGAGGCCCCAGCTATGGTACAAATGTCTTTGACTGCTCTCTTGTCACAGGCAGAAGATGAGTCAGCACAGCCACTGCAGAAGCAGGCATCATCTCTGCCTGATCCTAACCACTGAAAAGCCACCTGGTGCCGCAGGTCAATGCTCAGCAGAAGGTCCTCTGGCCACGGCCTGAGGGGTCAGCATCAGACCCTGGTCCCCCTCAGAGTTTCTACCCGGGGGTCACTAAAGAGTACATTTGAAATGTTTAGGGTGAGTACTGGGGAGGCTGCAGTGGGGCTCTGGGGGGAATGTAGGGAAGAGGAGGAGGCCAGTTAAGGCTGGGAGTGGATATCAAGGTGAAGATAGTAGGATGAGGGGCATGGAAAAGACAGGCGCTAGGTGGAGGGCAGAGTAAGTGGTGAGACGAACCTGTGGAACCGGGAAGGTGCAGAAAGCATTTTTTGATGAAGTGATTGGACAATACCCACAGGGCCAGATTTGCATTTCTGAGTGTCTTTCTTTGGATCATGGCCTAGTGATTTTTTTTTTTTTACTGTATTGTTTGTTTTCAATTTCTTCAAGCAGAAACTTAAAATGTTTATTGATCAGCTTTTCTAGTTACCTTCAGCAAAAGGACCATTCCAGCTCCTTAGCATGTCATTACTAGAAGCAGGAGTCCGTCCATGCTGTATCCTTATCCACTCCTTTATTTTCAAATTCCCATCTCCTTCTGTGCACAAAATACATGTGTTTCTCTTTTGATCCAGCAAGAAAGTCTCTGTATTTTGATAGACACTACTACAAATTCAAGGTTAGTTTTCATTTCTAATATGCTTTGACTTATTGCCATATTGCTTCATAATTTCCAACTGTTGTTTTGTATTTTCTTTCATTTTCACTTTTGTTGTCTTTTGTTGAATTGGCAAGGAATTGTTTGGATTTTTATTCTTTTTCCGCTATAGAAGTTGAGGCAGACTGCACTTGCCCAGCCAGTATCCATTTTCCTCGTCTTTCTAACTAATGGAACCATGAATATTTGCAGTAGCAATATCTCCAGCCTGGTGGCACCTCCAGGGATTTGTCATGCAGAATTCCAGAAACAACCACCTTACAAAGCGAGACATGCAAGAGTAGGCATGGCTTTCATCAGTGATGGCAGAAAGTTGTTCTCTTACTGCTTTGGGAGGAGGAGGAGCTTCTGAAGAAAAGATCCCCTTAGAGAAGTGAGGCACAGGCCAAAGGCAATAGGTCCTGAGCAGAATCTTTGCAACCCACCCTTGCCAATGGCGTTGGGCACCAGACGGAACCCTGGACCTGAAAATATACTATAGCTGCTCTGCAGATCCCCACTCCCACACCTTCCAACACACAGAAGGGACTTGGGGCTGAGGAAAGCATCACCCAGCTGCAAGGCATGAAGACCCCTGCACACCTCTCCACTGGCCCTCCCACCGCTCATGCAGGGCCCACCATGGAAAGACCCTACAGAGGGTTGCAGACCTCAGACTTCTGGGATGAAGGTTCACACAAACATCTGAGGGACACAGGCTGAGAGTGAGGGGCCTTGGGCATGGATGACAAAGCAGAGACAGTGAGAGACCACGTGAGAGATGGTTGCACCATAGGTGCCCAGAGACAGAGGGAGACTCAGCAAAGCAGTGGCCCAGCAGCACCCACCCAAGGCAGGCCCAGCAGAGGATGAGGCAGCCTGGGGGTAGGCCAGAGAGGGGACATGGGGGTGGATGAGGAGCACAGCTGCTTCTGAGGATGTGGTAGGATTTAGGGGCTGTGTGCCCAATGACCTGCACTGGCAGAGGGACAGCCCTTTCCCCTGCCTACCCCTAGTTGTTTACCTACCCCCATGCCACCCCCACCACCATCTCCCCACACCCCCCGAGTCCCTCTCCCTTCCCAGATTCCATGCCTGGTTCTCCCAGGAAGTGCCCAGCAGAGGGGAGGGAAGCCTCGTTGTTCAGTCCCAGGGTGGGGAGGCAGCAGGCACAGCTGCTGCCCTCAGGTCCTGCTCTGACTTCCCCAGGGGCTGGCTCTGGCTGGCTGCTCCCCCACTGTATCCCCCACCATAAGGCAGAGCGTCTGTCCTGCCGTTGCCCAGCTGAAGTGCCATGTCCTCCTGGCTCCTTGCTAAGCACTCTGCCGGCCCTGAGGGCCCTGCCAATCACAGGCCTGTGGAATCCTGGTCTTCCTAGCTGGCCCTGGCTGCAGCCAGATTCTCTGATGTCTTGCTCTGAATGGAGATGCCTGGTCAGGGGCTGCGAAAAATAAAGCCCAGTTTTTACACTCCCTGGGGAAAGGGGTTGAAACAGTCCTCCTGCCTCTGTTGGCATCCCAGTCAGCCTGAGCACTAGGGCCTCTTTTAGAGACAAGTTTCGCCAGATCTGTTGTCAGGGGCAGCAGCCAAGGGTCAGCCTGGGCCAGGCCTTCTTTTATGCAACAGATCTCCCACAAGTGGCCCTCAGATTGGCAAATCTGGGGTTAGCTAGGTTTTCCTACAGCCAGGCCTATGTCATGGCATTCTCTATTTCAAGTTCCATCTGGCTTGCTGTGACTTTGCAGACCGGGCAGGTGTGATAGGAAGTGAGGAAGGGCCTGGTAATACTGTCTGGGGATCCGAATGCAACTACAAAAAATGGGACTTCTGGTATGCTGACAAATGGGCCTCTAAAAGGTATGCACATGAAATCCCTAGAATCTGTGACTGTTATCTATGACAAAAGATGTGATTAACTTAAGGGTCTTGTGAGGAAGGATTTATCCTGGATTACCTGCATGGGACCTAAATACAGTCATAGGTACTGTATTTAGGTACTGAATGGCAGAGGAAGTTTTAAGAGAGACACACTTTAGACAAGGCGATGTGAAGAGGAAGGCAGGGACAGGAGGGATGTGACCTCAAGCCAAGGAATGCTGGGAACTACCAGAAGCTGGAAGTGACAAGGAAGGAAATCTCCCCTAGAGCTTCTGGAAGGAGCTTGGCCCTCCTCACACCTGGATTTCAGCCTCTAGCCTCCAGAACCGTAAGAGAACATATTTCTTTTCTTTTAAGCCACCAGGTATGTGGTAATTGTTACAGCAGCCACATAAACAAATAGACCTATTAATCTTTTTTTTGTTTTTTGAGATGAAGTTTTGCTCTTGTTGCCCAGGCTGGAGTGCAATGGCACGATCTCAGCTCACTGCAACTGCCGCCTCCTGGGTTCAAGCAATTCTCCAG